TGTGTATTCAGTGAAAGAATAATCAGAAACTCAAAAGAATGCAACCATTTGTCTCTACCTATGACCTGGAAGTCCCCTCCCCACTTCGAGTTGTCCTGCCTTTTTGGACTGAACCAATGTGTATCTTACATATATTGATTGGTCTCATGTCTCCCTAAAAGGTATAAAACCAAGCTGTGCCCCGACCACCTTGGGTATATGTCATGAGGACCTCCTGAGGCTGTGTCACAGGTGCATACTTAACCTTTGCAAGATAAATTTTCTAAATTGATTGAGACCTGTCTCAGATACTTTTTGGTTTACAAAACAAAGCCAGAGGCCTAGTCCAGAGCTTGGCAAATAGTCTATGCTCACTAAGGGTGAGCTGAAGGGAAGGCTTGCAGTGTTAACTTTCCTAAGATATTTTAGTAATAACATAATAGTCTCTCCCATTGTGGTTTAAAATTTCAATAGCACATAGATTTGCATGTTATATTTTTCTATTAAGATATGAACTGTTAAATATACTGAACCAATTCTCTTTCTCCCCTTGAAGGTTTGGTTTAAGATTAGGAAGATCAAGTACAGAAGATATCAGAAGGCTTTAGATTTTAGATATATGTCACCGATTGCCATTGATCTCCCTGTCATCGAAATCTTGGATGGGCCCTATAATGCCATCCTTGTTCAGGAGCCCAATTGGAGTTGGGTCTTGTAGTGCCACTGTAGCCTAGAATATCCAGGCTTCCCATGCTGTCCTTGCCTCCTCTGTCTATGCCTTGCTTTGCCCTGACTTTGTTTGGCCTGGTATAGGCCCCTGTCATCAGCATTCATTTGTAGTCTTCATTTTCTTAGGCCTGTTTTTTATAAATTTTTCCAAAATATTTTTCTGCCAGATTCAAATTCTGCATGGCACATCCTCAAGTGCAGTTCACCAAATGTCTGTTAAATGAATTGAATAAACAAAAAAGTCAGTGCACCATTTTTTATAAGGCACATTTTATATTAAAACAAAGCTGTGAATTCCTTGTAAACATTGGTTCCCAGGACCCCTGCAGATACCAAAATCCATGCATACTCAAGCCCCACATTTGGCCCTGCAGAATCCAAGTATACAAAAAGTTGGCCTTACCTATCTGCAGGTTTTGCATCCCATGAATACTATATTTTTGATCTGCATTTGGTTGCAGGTGTGAAACCTATGGATATGGCGGGGGGGGGGGCGCGGGGGCAACTCTATTGAAAAAAATCCACATGTAAGTGGACAAATGCAGCTCTAACCTGCACTGTTCAAGGGTCAACTATATATCTGTTTTGTGTGCCAAATAAAATATGTATAAGAATTTCAAAGGAAAAGTCATTTAAACAGAATTACAAGGAAGCCCCATTTTATGAGCTGACATTCCTCAATCACCAATAGGCCCTGTACATCTCACATACATACATATGCAAAATGGGGGTGGGGAAAGTCCCTAGTAAAAGAGCAGTGTTTCAAGACAGGGCCCGTCTCCATTTGTGCTGAAGAGCTCAGACACAACCCTGTAGTCTAAAGGGATCTTCCTAAGAAGCTACTCATAGGGCTCTATGGGAAGGTGGCAGCCAAACATCTATCTAGTATATTCCAAATTCTGTTCACTGTCCTCCCTTTCTGTGGAGGACATAGGGAAATAGGAAACATTCTGGCCCAAAGGTCCTCTGCATCAAATGAAACACAAGAGGAGACTCCACCAAAGCCAGAATGAGGCCGTTCTCCCTTTTCTCTTCCATCCCCAGCCCAGAAGGCATATTGTTGCATATTCTCCAGCTCAGAAGCTGACAATCATGCATTCAAATGTATTTTGTCTCATTCAACCTCCTTGAAAGGACCCTGGTTCCTGATGACAAAAACACAAAAAGGGAACCTCTTGTTTAGTGCTAGAAGAAGCAAGAGGGAGGAGGTAGTTCCCTGATTCATATTCTCATCAAAAAGAAGCAGTCAGACCTTGGCTTTCTTTATGCTGTCTTCCTCATGTGAAACTGCTAGGCTAGAAAACAACAAAAATTTAAAAATGGAGTGTGATGAGAGTTGAGGAGTTATTGTTAATTTTTTAAGGCATGATAATGGTATTATAGTTATGTTTTTAGAAAAAGAATGTGCATCTGATATGATATGCCTCTGTCCCCACCCAAATCTCATCTTGTATTGTAATCCCCACATATCAATACAAGTGGAGGGGTCTGTTGGGAGGTAATTGAATGGATGGGTTTCTCCCATGCTGTTGTCATGATACTGAGTGAGTTTTTATGAGATTTGGTTGTCTGTTAAGTGTCTGGTGCTTTCCCCATCTCACTCTCTCTCCTGCTCCCATGTCAGATGTGCCTTGCTTCCCCTTTGGCTTCCGCCATGATTATAAATTTCCTGAGGCCTCCCACGCCATGCAGAACTATGAACCAATTACACCTCTTTTCTTTATAAATTACCCAGTCTCAAGTATGTCTTTATAGCGGTGTGAAAACAGACTAATACACTGTCTTTTAGAGAAACATGCTGAATTGTTTATAAATGACATTATACCTGGGATTGGTTTCAAATTAATTAGGGGGCAGTGGCAATTTCCCACAAGTTGTTAATTGTTCAAGCTGGGTGCTATGTGCCTGAGGGATCATTATACCATTCTATGTATGTTTATACACATTTGACCTTTTCCATAATAAAAATTAAAGAAAAAAATCTGGCCATCTGTGTTTCTTTTCCTTTTTCTTAGCTGTCTTTGCTCTCATTTTTGTGTCTTCATCTGCAAATTAAAACACATTATAATTTTGAAAAAGTTACCTTTAAAACCTCAATACTTTTGAGTAAATATATATGCTTTTGCTGTCTCTCATTTGTTGTTACACAGAAATTGATTCATTCAAACATTTATTACTATTGTCAGGAACTGTGCTAGGCACTGGGGATATATACATTATTAAAGTCACATTAGGTATTAGATGATATGAGAAATTAATGTTAATTTTTTCATAAGTTAATGGTATTATGGTTAAGAAATATCATTTTAAAGAGATGCACAGAAATATTTTGTATTGAAGTGTGATGACATTTGTAATTTACTTTGAATACCTTAGTGAAAAATCTATATTTGAAGCAAACATATCAAAATGCTAACAAATGTTAAACCTGAGTACTAAAGTATATAGCATTAATTACACTATTCCCTTTACTTTTCTGAACATTTGAAGATTTTCATGATAAAAAGGGAAAGAAAACTACGTGTGTGTTGGAGTGGGGAAGGAGAACGCTTTCTAGGAGCTCAGTCTAATGGAGGAGACAAATAGGTAAAGAGATTGATACAATCCAGAGTGACAGAAGGAAGCTTGGGTTGCTCTGGACACACAGAGGAGTCTCAAAATCAGACTGATTGGAGGAGGGTGATTGAGGAATGGCTGACCAGGAAAGGTGGCTCTTAGAGTAGTTATTTGATTACAAAAGTACTGCATGCCCATTGTTGCAATGAGTAAGCCAAGCTTGTTGGAAAAAGAGACTGGTATTGTAGGCAGAGGGCCTCTCTACCAAGTAATAGAGTCAATAGAAAGAACATGGAATACTGAGGAAACAGAAAGCAGTTCTAGCCTGGGCAACACAGCATGACCTCACCCCTACAATTTTTTTTAAAAAAATAGCTGGGCATGGTGGCGCCCGCCTGTGGTCACAGCTACTTGGAAGGCTGAGGCAGGAGAATCACTTGAACCCTGGAGGTGGAGGTTGCAGTGAGCAGAGATCGAGCCACTGCCCTTCAGCCTGGGTGACAGAGGGAGGCCCTGAAAAGAAAGGAAGAAAGGAAGGAAGGAAGGAAGGAAGGAAGGAAGGAAGGAAGGAAGGAAGGAAGGAAGGAAGTTAGTTTTCAGGCTACAGAGTATGGTGCAAGAAAGAGTGACAGGGTATATGTGATTAGAGAAGGATCAGTCAGGGTCTGAACTTTACCCTGAGGGCTATGGAGAACTATTGAAGGATTTTGAGTATGAGACTGACATGCTTAGATGTGTGCTTTAAGAAAGTTTGGTTTTCCAGCAGCAAGGAAGTAAAGTGACATTGGGGACCAGGAAACTGGGGCAATATCAGAGGAAGCAGAGCCTTTGTGGAATATGCCAACCAAGAAGAAGAACCCTCTGGTCAATTATTAGCCAGGAGAGGGCATAAAAAAGGTGGCTTTTTGTGATGCACTACCCCAGATGGGGTGCCTTCCATAAATTGGCAGCCAGTCTAAAGGGAGTGCCTTTTTGAAAACTGTACAGCAGTGCCCACTGGGCATGAGATTATACCAAAAAGCCCTTCCACTGGGCTGATGCAGCCCTGTAAGGCTTACTTTGGTACAGCCCAATCCCCTGACGTGGTCTGGAGCCACGTGCTTTGTACAACTATGCACAACCATGCACAACCAATCTGGAGTCAAATTGCTTAGATTTGAATCCCAACTGTGTGACCTTGGGGATAGTACTTATAACCTGCTCTGTCGCCATTTCCTCATCTATAAGAAGTACCCTACAGTTATTTATGGATTAGATGGCAATAAATGAATATAAAGCACTTATGGGGATGCCTAGCACAAGGTTAGCAAGTGTTCAAAAACTCTTCAGTATTATTATTGTTTTCAGGAACCTTCTTCTAAAATAAGTTTTAAGAAATAAAACTAGTTTTGAAGCAAGGCTTGCAGGACGCTGTTGGCTTTCTTACCACTAGAGTCTGTTTCAGAATCAGAGTCACTGTCGCTATCTTCAGAATACCACTTGTGTTTTCTTTTCGATAAATTTTTTTTTTTTCCTTTCTTGGACCTTTCACTTGAATGACTAGACTACTTTTTTTCTATAAAAAATACAAATAAAAAAGTAACTTCTAAAAAAGTATTTCTGATTATCAGTCTTACTACATTTGAAATACTGAAAAGGAATAGATGATAGGCAATCTGAATAAAAGTAAAGTCTAATGTTCAACTATTTATAAACATTTTTTAACTTCTCAAGAAAGGTCTGTATCTTTAAAATACCTTCTGATGTAGAAACCGAAGTAGTACATTTCTTTGGCTCTTCATTCTCTACTTGCATATGTTCAGCAGAACTGAATTTAAAGAAAATGGTTATAAGAATTAGAAAAGTGATGAAATATGGACCATAGAGTATAAAAACATAGACTTAAAACTTTTCAGCAACAATGACAATTGTCCAAGAACCATTAAAAACAAGCATTGGACTGCTTTCATAAGAATACAGTTCATGTCTGTAATCCCAGCACTTTGGGAAGCCAAGGTGGGAGGATCACTTGAGTCCCAGAGTTCAAGACCAGCCTACACAAAATAGCAAGACCCCATCTATACAAAACATTTAAAACATTAGCCAGGTATGGTGGTGCTTGCCTGTAGTCCCAGTTACTCAGGAGGCTGAGGTAGGAGGATCACTTGAGCCTGGGATGTCAAGGCTGCAGTGAGCCATGATCATGCCATTGTACTCCAGCCTGGGTGACAGAGCAAGACTGCCAAAAAAAAAAAAAAAAAAAAAAAAAAAAAAAAAGAAAAAAAAAAATGACAATTGTCCAAGAACTATTAAAACAAGCATTGGACTGCTTTCATAAGAATACAGTTCATGTCTGTAATCCCAGCACTTTTTGTGGTAGAAGCCAAGGTGGGAGGATCACTTGAGTCCCAGAAAGGCACCAAGACCAGCCTACACAAAAATAGCAAGACCCCATCTATACAAAAAAAGATTAAAACATTAGTGGCATGGTGTGCTGCCTAGTCCTGTGCCATTACTTCAGGAGGCTGAGGTAGGAGGACTTGAGCCTGGGATGTCACGGCGGCAGCCATGATCATGCCATTACCCAGCCTGGGTGACAGAGCACTGCCAAAAAAAAAAAAAAAAAAAAGAAAAAGAAAAAAAGAAAAAAACACAGTTCATGTTCACCTTTCATAATAAGTAAAACAAACAAATACAAACAAACTAAACAAACAAAAAAAAAAAAAAAACAAACAAACAAAACTCCAACGCACCAAAAAAAACAAAAAAAAAAAAAAAAAAAAAAAAAAAAAAAAGAAAAAGAAAAAAAGAAAAAAACACAGTTCAAGGGTCTGCCACCTTCATAATAATAAAATAACTTACATTTGCACAATGCTTTATAGATTGCAAGCACTATTCAAACTGAAAGCAGCATGGAGGATTTATATTTTCAGAAGAAACCACAGGGCAAAAATCGAGAAATCAGAATTAGAAGGAAAGATGAAAGAAACTGTATATGAGAAGTCTGAGGAAGATATCATAATTTTATTCTAAGTATGTGAAAAAGAAATGGTAGAGCAGCAACTGTTCTGTCTCCTCAGAGCAAGAAGACCCTAAGAAGCTACAATCTAAAGAGATTTGGGGGACACATGTTCTCAGGACCTGAGGCTACGTCATGGTAAAAAATTGTGTGTGTGTGTGTGCGTGTGTGTGTATATATATATAAACATATATATAATATATAATATTATATATTTATATGTTATATAAATATAATATATATTATATATTATTATATATTATATTTATATATATTTGTTTTATTGCAGATAATTCTGAAAATAAGTATTATTAAAGTTTTACAGTAGGCTTGACATGGTGGCTCATACTTATAATCTCAGCATTTTGGGAGGCCAAAGCACAAGAACAGCTTGAGCCCAGGAATTCAAGACCAGTCTGGGCAACATAGTGAGACCCTTCTGTACAAAAAATTTAAAAATTAGCGGGGTGTGGTGGTGTGCACCTGTAGTCCCAGTTACTCGAGAGGCTGGGGCAGGAGGATCACTTGAGCCGGGAAGGTCAAGGCTGCAGTGAGCCATGATCATGCCACTGCACTCTAGCCTGGGTGACAGAGTGAGACCCCACATCAGAAAGAAAGAAAGAGAGAAAGAAAGCAAATAAATCAATAAATAAAGTTCTATAATACTTTAGAAAGGGACCTTCTATATTATATAATCTTTCCCTTTGAAGATCACATCTGCAATAATTTAGGTATTGCCTAGAAAATTATTTTTAGGGTTCCTTCTGACTCTAATTCTATGAGTTCCAGTCCTTTAAGCATTTCCCAAGGGTATCTATAAGAATACACTTCAGATAATAATGCTTTATCACCTTGTCACAAATTACAGGTTTACCTGTGAAGCACATTGCCTCAACTCAACCTAAACACAGAAATAGATGAGAGGGAAGAAGAAACTTATGAGCAACACCAAAGAGAAAAGAAATAAGCAAAAAAAAAAAAAAAAAAAAAAAAAAAACCATTAATATTTCACATAGTATTGGATACAGAAAAATTAACTAAACCAAACTACACTGGCATCTTAATTTTTAAAAATCGCTGTGTAATACTATTATCTGGAATGCAATCTGCTCCTGGGTTGAGGAAAAAAATCAAAATATAAATGTATTATCTGTTTTAACACTGAACTCTTCTATTAATAGGAAATTAGCACCCCATGAATAAAATTTAAAGAAAACAATTAGCATGCTAAAATCCATGAGCAACATATTTTAATTCTTAGGTATGTTAGACTCCCTTTAGTTCCTTCTAAAAAAAAAAGTACCTTACCTATCTGTTCTTTGGAGGACATTAATTTTTTTTGTATTATAACGTTTGTCATTTATTGTTTTAATTTTTGCTGTTACTCATAAACTAAAAAAACAAAACTAAGAGAGGTTCAATTTCCCCAAAGTTTAGCTGCTTTCATCTATAAAAATCCTTATAAAAGAAATATATTTGATTTCATTGCTTGAATAAATTGTTTTTACTTCTTTATTCAGGGAAAAGGTATTATAAGTATACAGAGTTAGACTCAGAGGGTTTCCCATTTCAAGAGCAGGCAATCTAAAAGTAAACATATGTCTAACGGTTCTTGGAATATGAGTATAGGGACCAAGGATGCCTGTCAGACTATAAAGACACACGGTCTTTGTGGTGTGAGGCACAAAATTAAGGCCCAATATTGTGGACTACCTTGGCAATTGGGGAAACCAGGAGGGCTCCCAATAGCCTAACTGCGAATTCCCCTCTCCATTCTGCTCCTGCAAATAAGGTTCCCTAGCCAAACGACCCCGCTTCTCAAAGAGACCAGACGCAGTTCCATCTTATCTCTGGGTAGCAGATTTTAGTACACTGTCAGCCTGTGGAATTATTCAAACAAGCCAATTATATCCTTCCAAGGGGAAGCAGGTATTACCTCAATTTCTTCATACCACAAAGTCTACCTCCCACAGCCCCTGATTATTCACTGTCTTACCAACAGCAACCTCAGTGTGGCCCTTCGTGGCACGCTGTGTTCTCTCCCATTCCAGCTGTGAATATATGTGATTAATAAACCGCTGTTGATCTCATCTGTCCTGTGTTCAGCTACTCCATAACACAAAGGGTGGGAATCCTTCCCTCATCAACCTAGTGAAGAGCAGATGATTGAAACAGTCCCTGCTGCTACCTGGTTTTATCTGTGCCTTAAGATAAATTATTTATCTTCTATGTGCAAAAATGCAAATTTTACCCAAGTTGTTCTTACATCTTTTGGTTAGGATTCTAAAATAAGAAGTTTTTTTGATTGACACAAACTGGGAGGACCTTTCTATCCCAAAGGCAGGAGGGTTCCTCAGAGGAAAAGTGCAGTAGTTTCACTCACCTCTCCCACATGGGCAAAAAATGTGTATCTCTAACCTAACTCAGGACTGTTTTTACTGCTTCTGCTCCCAGGCATGAAACCCTAATAGCCAACACCTGTGAAATGTTTATATGTTCAAGGCACTAAATCATTACAATAACCCTAAAAACGTCAGTACTATTTGTATCCCTCTTTTACAGGTGAAAAAAAAAATGAAGCTTGGAGAGGTTACCAAGGTCACACAGGTATTAAGTGGCAAAGTAAGGCTTACAAACTCAGAAAGTCTCAATCCAGAAGGAGTCCTTCTCATCACTATGCTTTATTATATCCCACTAGTGGAAGAAAAAGACTAATCAAGACATCTCCCAACTGCTGGAATTTCAATCTATCCCTCAATACCTGCAACGTTTTTAAATTTCTCATTTTTTTTAACTGTAGTGCATGTAAGGCACTCAGTATAGTACCTGAAACACTCAATAAACATTTGATATGAGTACTTACACAGCAATAATTATAACTATTTTCCTTCTCAAACCATCTACTTCACACTCCAATATTCACTCTCATTAGAGGAAAACTCATCTCACTCTCCTCTCATTCTTCAGGGTCAAGATTGAGACCACTTAAGACATTCCTCAAGGTAAATCTGCAGTTTAGCACATCACTTTGCCTACATTCATCCAATTATCTTGTCTCAGAGGAAGGTATTCTCCTTTCCACTTTAAACCCTTAAGCTCAACCCTTTCCAACTCCCTACAAGGAATTTCCACTTACTTAGTCTGTTAGGATCTCAAACCGATAATTCACTCAACACACAACACATTCAGTAGGTTGAGCCCCTACTAAGTGCCAGGCATTGCAAATTCTGTAATGAATAAAATAGGGGTCCTGGTTTTCCACGAGCTCAGTCTAGTGGAGAATAAAAATATGTTCACGAATGATAACACAAAACAAATGCTATACGTAGGTCTGTGACCCTTAGCCGTGTCTGCCCCGAGATGAGAGGCGAAAGAGGGTGGAGGGAGACCGGGACACCCTACAAAGAGGCCCAAGGATGAGTGAGAATGTAAAAGAGGAGAAGGGCGAAAAAGGAGCTGCCGTGGATAGATTGCGGAAAAGGATGAAAATGGGCGCAGTGAAAGCAGAAGGAGCGAAATGCAAATGGTCAGAAGCGGGCTGAAAGATGAAGCGGACTCGCTGAAGGCAAGCGGGCCTCTTAGAGCGAAGTTGCGGCCATAATATCACTCACCTCTGTCACGGGCTCATCTCCCTGTCCTCGTCCCGCAGGAGCGTGAGTAGTTGCCGCAATAGGCGCACGAGGAGGCAGAAGCGAAAGTCATGCCCTGCGGCGCAGAGAGCCGCTCATGAGAATGGGACCACAAATGGGAGCAGCAGGGCTGGTTTTGGGAGCCTTGACTGAGCCCATTCCATTCCCCAGTCAGAGAGCAAGCGTTCCAGCGAGAGCTGCTCCCCAGCGGGGAGTGGGAGGCTTTGCTGGCCTTGGGGCTCTTGGACGAACTGCAACACATCCTCCCCGGAGCCCGAGGCCCCCTCTCGGCACTACAGAACAGGACACTGGAGCTACTGCAGCTTCGAAAACGGCACATTCTGAGGAGCCTCAGCAGTATCCGTTGTCTTTGCTCCAAAAACCAAGCCCGCGCAACCGCTGGGAGCAAAGGAAACCATGGGAACTATTGCCGAGTACGTTGGCAAAACATTTCCCCAGGTCTGTGTGGCCAAGGTGAAGAGGTGTGTGCTTGGTGTAAATAAACCTCCACTGCAACCGATTTCGCTCATTCTTTCGTTCCGCGTTGAGGCTCGCCAGGGTCTAAATCCGCATGGAGACCACGTCTTCCTTACGCTCCTACTTGAAAAAACTGAAGGGCAGGACGACAGGCCACTGGAGACATTTCACAGAATGGTCATATCAACAACATAGTCAATTCTGTTCGTGTATAGGTGCTTTCCGTGAGTGTGTGTATTACATGTTCTATAACATTGGGCGCACTCTGTGTCGTGTGTATAAATTATGTACATTTGGTTATGTGTGTATATATGTACATATATAATAAATAGGACTGGATCAAACAGATTCACATATTTTTTCAGTCTATTTGAATTAAAAGAAAAATCTGAGATGGGAAGAAAAGGGACAAAGTATTCAAAGTATTTCGTACACAACTTAAAGTGTGTTTATTTCAGTGTTGTCAGATTTATTAATAGCAAAAAGAAATATACAGTAGGCCCACTTATCTTTGAATTTCAAATAAAGAATAATGTTTTAGTATAAGTATGTTCCATACAATAATACAATAGAAAGTGACTACTTTCTATTAAAGATGAGGTGATAGCCAATGTTGTACTTCTTCCTTCCTCTCCCACTACTTCTAAAATTTGTTTCTTATATTCTTTTTTGTTTGCTTGTTTTGTTTTGTTTTGTTTTGAGACGGAGTCTCACTCTGTCACCCAGGCTGGAATGCAATGGTGCGATCTCAGCTCACTGCAACCTCCACCTCCTGGGTTCAAGTGATTCTCCTGCCTCAGCCTCCCAAGTAGCTGGGATTACAGGTGCCTGCCACCACACTCGGCTAATTTGTGTATTTTTAGTAGAGATGGGGTTTCATCACGTTGGCCCAACTGGTCTCGAACTCCTGACCTCAGGTGATCCTCCCACCTCAGCCTCCCAAAGTGCTGGGATTACAGGCATGAGCCACTGCCCCCAGCCTTGTTCCTTATATTTTAAGGCTTTTTGCTTGCTGTTTGAGAAAGGGAAGTGGGAGCAGCTCCTGATATCCACAAACTGACCTCGCACTTACAATTAGGCATGTTCCTCTCTTGTTGAACATAAACTCACAAAACGCCAACCCAAGACAAGATCACTGGGAGCCTGACCAAGTGAGACAAAACAAGACCACTTCATAAGCTTGTGCAAGCACAGACAAAAACAAGTTCACTGTGACACCCAGAAAACACCAAACACCCCCTCTTGGCCAAGATAGGTCACTGCTACTTAGCCAGTTAATGTACATCTTTATCCTCCCTCTAGTCTGCCCTCCCTATAAATAAGATTTATTGAAATGTGCAATCATACAATTGCCCCTGCTTTCTGATGGATCTGAGATGGAACTCCTGCTTCCTAGACCTTCCCCCAAATTGTCCAAATTCTATAATAGGTTCGTTCTAACAACTTCTTACTAAAACACATCATAGTTACCTATAGTGTGTGTTGTCCCTCCCTGGACTAAGAGTAATAAATCCAATTTGTCAACTATGGGTATGTTTCTGGTAGTCTGTGGTTGAAGGGCATTGACACATTCCACTGCGTAAAATGTTCTTCCCCAGATATTTATATGGCCCTTTACCTTAGTTCATTCCATTCTTTGCCCATACATCATCTTTTCAGAGAGGCTGTCCCTGACCACACAATTTACAATAACACCCTCATCATCCTCTATCCCTTTACTCTATTTTTCTTCATAGCACTTACTACTTTCTGATATTGTATTATATATTTAGATTATATATACACAAATGTTGATTGTATGTCTCTTCCATTATAATGTAAGTTCCATGAAGACCAATATTTCAACTTGATAATAATTATATCCACAGTGCCTACAACATTGCCTGGCACAAAGTAAGCACCAAATGATATATATTTAATATGTATTGAAAAAATGAATGAAGTTTACAGTGTTGGAGTTTATAAGTTTCATTGTCACATAGTCATAATCAATCTGTTGTTTGGGCTTAGTCTTCCACTTAAATAAATTAGCTTACTGCAAAATCTCCATTCTTAATTCTTTATTTGGACTCATTTCTTATTTGATTTGACTTCATATATTGCCAAGTAATTTTTCACAAATGACTCATGGGTAGTATATTCCCTCAATTTTGTTCAAGTTTGGAATAAGCCGTCTGTTGCTTTTTTTGGTAGATTGTATTATTGTTAGCAATTATCAACTCCTCCTTTTCCAGTAGGAGAGTTATATATCCCTATCCAATTGACTTTGGAAAGTTTTAAGAAAAAAGGGCAATAGGCAGTATTAGACAGGTCACTTAAAGAGAGAGTTGTTGGGATGAAACAGAAAAGGGGATAGTGGTGAAAAAGCAACATATATTTGGCACTTATTGGGTTCCAGACACTCATTCATTCAGCATTAAGCAACCATCTCCATCTACAATTTGTTGGGCCAAGGGATGCTTCACAAATAAGTTAATACTTGAGATGGGTTTTTATGGAAGACCAGACACTTACCAGGAATTAACCAGACAACATGTTAAGCGAGGTGTGGCTATGAAGGAAATGACTATTCCAAGCTCAGGGCTCTAGGCTCAGACTTGAAGGCAGTAAATTGCATGGCATATTCTGGAAACTGTGAGCAGTTTGACACTATGCGTAGTTAATTCATTTAATCCTCAAAGTGACTCTGTGGGAAGGTATTATTATCCCTATTTTACAGATGAAGAATCAGGCTCAAGATCAAAGAGCTAGTAAGTGGCAGTATCAGAATTCCAATCCACTCACATCTTCTCCTTAAGATTTTGTTTCTTCCACTCTACCTTACTAGGGTTTCTGCAGATCCCATGGAGTGACCTTACCAAATCTGTATCCATAAGCATAACATATAGGAAGGGCTCTAAGACTGAATGAGTGCCACTTTATCTTTTGTCATCAATTAATATATATTAAGCACCCGCAAGATTGTGGGCATTTTAACACAGGAGAGGACAGTTACTACCCTCATGGAATTCATAATCAAGTTCAAAAGGCAAGCAAACACTGACAATATGGCTATGAAACCTAACTCATTCCATTTTCAGCCAATAAAACCTTTCTAGAATGTGAAACAATTGATACCTCCAAATCCATTTGATATAGGTTGTTCTCTGACCTCAGGTGATCCTCCCACCTCAGCCTCCCAAAATGAGTTGTTGTTGTTTGAAGTAGGGTTCAAACTACTGAGTTGTTTGAAGTAGGGTTAAGCCCTCCAGATTAAAAACAAAAGTAAAAGTAAAATAACTAGTTGAGAAACAGAAAATTAATTAAACTTTCCGGTGATCCTGTCCCAAAGATGATTATTAAGGCCACTCAGGCTTCTTGGTCTGTTCTGCTTTCCTACAAATAAAATTCCTTTCTTGACCATTGGATCCCCTTTCATTATAGGTAGCTTTTACACTTGTTAAGTTTTAGCTTGGTTAGGGGGTGAGAGATACAGCAAGAAGGGAAGAGAAGGTTTGCTGTGCTTTGAATGAACAGGTTTCATCATATGTCAGTTGGTCTTCCAAACTTTTAAAACACTTTCAGGAAAGTGACAAAGGCAAGGTAATTCTGTTGCCAGCTTCAGTGATGTAAATGCTGGTGTAAAATAAATTGTATTGTGCCTTCCAATTTACTGACAGGTGACCGACAAACATGACATCTAGAGTGGCATCTATTGCCACTGTAATCTGTATTTCAAAGATACGTCTTATTTTAGTTTTCATCAATTAAGCCCCTGAAAGATAAATAGATCCTAAACTTTCAAGAAATACCTGGTTCTAACTGCTAAGTTTTTTTTTTTTTTTTTTACTACTAAGTTTTGGGGAGGATAACTCAGAAAAATGGTTATTAAATACTCAGTTGCCAGGAAAAATACTAATCTGCCTTAGTTTACTTTACAACAGCATACTTCTATTTGCCGTGAAATATCTTTATAGTAAACAATGAAACTTTCATAATGTTAAGTCCTAATCAAAAATCAATAATGCAATAATTCCCACATAGTTTGCTTTCCCACAATACAAAATCTTGGAGAAGAGCTTAAGGAATTGCATATTTCCATGTGAAATACAGCTATATTATACCACTTTGATGTTTTATTATACCATGTGGCTTTACTTTATTGAGGAGGATGAAGAATAGATTAGGGATGGGTAGATGATGACATCCATGTCTGATTTCCTGTCAGAGAAAATTAGATATTGTTAGATCTGTTTTCAGTCTAATATCCTGATGGACATTTTCAGCAAAATTTTTTTTAGGAAAGCAGCACAGGAATTCTACTGCAAGGTATTAATAGGTACAAATTTAAGATTTTTGGAAATGAATGCAGTATTATCCTATAAATATCTTTTTAAAAAGATAAGGAAGGTAGTGAATGGCCTTAATTATGGCAGAAAAAAGTTACTATTTGGTTCCTTGGTTGAAGATATGATCAATAACCAGCCTAAAAGGGAAATATTTTGCTCTCCAAACACCCATCCTGTTGTTTCATTCATTATGGTACTCAGTTGCAAGGGTATTAGCAGAGGATTTAAAAAAATTATGTAACTCACAATGTATTTTTTCAGTCATTAATCACTGAACACTTACTATGTGTCAGACACTAAAGCCCTCTGAAGATGAAATGCTATGGAAATAGTAATAATAAAAAATTAAAATAGTAATAACAAAAAATTAAAAATGCAAGTGTTAATATTATTAATCTTTCAAGATACAGGTCAAATGACAACACTCGATTTGCTATTCTCTTCTCTGCTTCTACACCTTGTACAAATATTTTTGTCCATGTTTGTGTACCTACCTACTGAGCTCCCTAAAGAGGTAGAGACCTTTGGGTTATTCATTTTTGTATTCTCGAGAGCCTAACATAGGGTTTTTGCTACAGATCAAGCAAGGGGTTAGTAAATGCTAGTTGAAATGAGGGAATTAACACAGTACTGCATCATTTAGTATTCAGTTAAGAAGACAGTTGTCCAAACACTAAATTTCTTTCTTAAAAGTAGTTACTGTAATGCAGTTGCTGTCTTGTTATCCCAGAACTTGAATTACCATAAGAAGTTGTTAATTCATATTTGATTGTATGTATTCTATTTCAAGATGGTTTATCATCTAGCAAAGTCTAATAGAGCAGATTCAAATTTGCAAAAGAAATGAAACCTGTATAGTCTCTAAAAGTTTGTAGGCCCTAGAAGTTCACGTTTAATTTCGATGAAAACAACTCGCGTCCCTTCCATCCAATTGCTTGCGACTGCCTTACAGATCTTTCCCTTTCCTTTTTTCCCACCCTTTCGCCCTCCGGAAAGAGCCGAACACACAAGAGCTTCCCAGTCTTCCTCCGCCCCCTTGCGGAAAGAGCCGAAGGCAGAGCACGGCGCCGAGGTGGAGCCGCCTCAAGCTCGGGCCCTTCCGGACCACCCCGGCCTGCGCTCGGAAGAGGAGGGCGCCTTTGACTTGAGCGCTTCGCCCCCGCGCTGTGCCCTCTGTCGGCGGCGTGGGGCAGCTGTAGCAGCGTTGGCGGCAGGAGGCGGCGGCCGCGTCGACGTCGACCCAGACTGGAGCGACGTTTAAAGAAGGGGCAGAATCAACGGGGAGTGCGGCT